TACGACTTGTAACCCCCATTCAAGATATTCCGCCCCCTTTTTTTTTTTGAGTCGGAGTCTCACCCTGTTGTCCAGGCATACTCACAGCCACCGCAGCCTTGACCTTCTAGGCCCAGGCGATCCTTCTACCTCAGCCTTCCAAGTAGCTATAACTACAGGCATGCACCACCACACCCGGCTAATATTTTAAATTTATTGTAGAGACACGGTCTCGTCAAGTTGTCCAGGCTGGTATCCCACCCTTTTAAACTTAAATCGATGTGTAACATGCATGTTTTGATTTATAATTTTGCCTGTAGCTTCTGCTTTCCTGAAATGTACCCCTGCCTTTAAAAACCCTTGCCTGCAAGCCAGCAGGGAGTCCAGGATTTGCGCATGTAGCTGTCTGGTCCTCCTTGCTTGGTCCCTGCAATAAACGCCTTTCTTTCTACTACTGCATACTCAGTGTGGATATCCAGTTTGGTTCTGTAGCACTACTAAGTTGGTTTAGCTAGACACCACCTTGCTGGGCACGGTGTCTCATGCCTGTAAGCCCAGCACTTTGGAAGGCCGAGGTGGGAGGATTGCTTGAGCTCAGGAGTTCAAGTCCAGCCTGGGCAACATAGTGAAACCTCATCTCTATAAATAAATAAATAAATAAATAAATAAATAAATAAATAAATAAATAAAAATAGCCAGGTGTGGTGGTGATTATCTGTAGTCCCAGTTCCTCAGAGGCTGAGCTCAGGAGGTCAAGGCTGCAGTGAGCTATGATCGTGCCACTGCACTCCAGCCTGGCCAACAGACTGAGATCCCAACTCACATACACACAAAAAAAGAAACCACCTTATTCTTGATGTTTCCTCTTAGTCATTTTCCATCCGCTGACCCCCTCCTTGCTCCTTAACTATAAATCCCCATTTGTCCTTGTAGTATTCCCAATGGAGCCCACCTCAGCCTCTCGAGTAGCTGGGACCACAGGCATGTGCCACCATACCTGGCTATTTTTTTGTATAGACTAGGTCTCGCTATGTTGTCCAGGCTAGTCTCAAACTTATAGACTCAAGCAATCCTCCTGCTTCAGCCTCCCAAATGCTGGGATTACAGGCACGAGCCACCATACCCAGACTTGTTTCTGCTTTTCTTTGACACTAACACTGAGACCAGTACCTGGCATGTAGAAAATACTGAATATATGACTTGTCTAGGGTCACACAGGCACCTGGAACCAGAACCCAGGTCTCCTGATGTCCTGCTGCGGGCTTGGTCTATAATACCACCTTCCTATCCAGGCACCAGAGAGAGCTTTTTAACAGGGGTTGGCAGACTCTGGCCAAACCTGGCCCCCTGCTTGTTTTGGCCTGACCCACATGCTAAAAATGATTTTTATATTTTTAAATGATCTTTAGAAATCTAAAGATTCTCAATCATGCCTTTCCTTCTGGAGTAGAACAAGGAAATCAGGAGATTCATGACGCACAAATATTATGTAAAATTTAAATCTGTGTTCATAAATAAGGTTGTTGGAACATAAGCAATGTTTGTCCATTTTTACTGCTAAAAGAAACGTCTTAGATTAAATTTGACAGAGTTTAATAGAGCCAAGAGTGACTCATGAATCGGGCAGCCCATGAACCAGGAGAGATTCAGAGACACTCCAGTGCTGCCATGTGGTGGAGGAAGCTTCACGGACAGAAAAATGAGAATGATGCACAGAAAAGAGAAATGCGGTACAGGAATGCTAGGTTGGTTACAGCTCAGCATGGGCCTCATTTGAACATGGTTTGAACAGTCGGGCACCTTTGCCTGGCCGAAACTCAGGGACCGACACAAGAAGAGGTGACAGTCTGTTTTCACATCCAGTTAGGGGACACCTCACTAGACACAAAGAAACCTGTAGGCCAAACTTAAAATATGTAAGGGGGCAGCTTTAGGTTGAACTTAACAACATATTATCCATCACTGCTTTCCTGTTATAAACAACAGAGCAATGTGGCCCACAAATCCTAAGATACTTACTTCCTGGCCCTTCATAGAGAATGCTTGCCAACCCCTGCTTTATAACATTCCCTTGGGTTCTCTGCTTAAGCATCCCACTATCAGGAGATGCCATCTGGGCTCCATCAATACCAAACTCTACACTTGAACATGCCATTGAGGCCTTTTTGCAGAGCTAGACCCTCCCACACCCCTAGTGAGATGTGACTCCACTATCTCATTAAAGCCTCATACCAGTAAACAAAACTATTGACCAAGATTAGAGAGACTTAATATGAGAAAGATAATTGGGCAAACCCTGAACACAAGAAGGAACTTGGTTCTTTTCTCCCCCAACCTGGGTTCAATGACAGGAATCTATTATGATCTTAAAGACAGAAAGGTTTGAAAGTTCAGACATCTGCTTATAGACATTGTGTTTGTTCCTCTTGTCTAAAGGTTCCCACCTCCAGCTGCACAGTAAGAATCACCTGGAGAGATTTAAAAAATCACTAATGCCTGGGAACCACCCTCCTCCACAAGATACTGATTACTTTTGTGTGGGCATTGTTTGAAAGCTTCCCAGCTGATTCCGTTCTGTGGCCAAAGTGGAGACCCAACCTCGTTCTCAAATGTAATGTGCACATTAGAATTGCTGTGCAAATCATATTTTTTAAAACCAAGTACTTTGTGGGGCTATTTAGGGGATTTGCAATAATAGTTTTGACCTATATGCAATTTCCACCTTAAATGTTGTTAGAAAAAATTATTTGGGTAGCCATTAGGCTAGGCTGGCTCCGGCATTCTGGGTTCCTTCATGAGCAGACCAAAACCCAACTCAGAGTAACTCAACTAATCAGAAACCACCATTCAACATCCACTTGGGACCTTATGGCTACTGTCCCACTTTCACCAGTCAAACATTCCCTTCGACTTGCTTCTGTGTGTACCTCACATTAAAGCTTATGGGAGGCGACTGTTTTAGACTAGCCTCCTGCACCAGGCCCCAGCAGCCCATACCAAACCAAAATGGAGTCACTTTTGCTAAGTGACATAATCAAATTGAGCTTTGAGAGGGGCCAGTCTTCAAAAAAAAGAAAAAGATTTACAGCAACCAATATGAAAAGGCCTAGTTTATCTTAGTTGGCATGACAGGGACGTCTACTCTGTTTTAACTCTATAAAGAAAGTCATTTCAAAACAACCCATCTGTTTTTTGTTCCTGGTTTCTGTTTTCTTCAGCTCTTTTCTACTGATTCATGAATCACTGTCTGCTCAGATAAACCTTTCGAAATGTGAGTGTGCCTCAGTTTATCTTTTAACAGAGCTAACTTTAGAACCCAAACCTTGACATAGATGTGGCTCTGCTGATGTCAGCTTCTCAGCAGGATAGCCCTGAAGGGATAGTATGACAACTTTAGCAGTTGTTTTGTTCTTTCTTTTTTCTAGTCTCTTTTTTTTTTGAGTTGGAGTCTCGCTCTGTTGCCCAGACTGGAGTGTAGTGGCACACTACCAGCCACCGCAGCCTCGACCTGCTGGGCTCCAGCGATTCTTCTGCCTCAGCCTTCCAAGTAGCTGAAACTACAGGTGCACGCTACCATGCCTGCCTTTTTTTTTTTTTTAATTGTAAGAGGTGAGGTCTTGCCAAGTTGCCTGGGTGGGTCTCGAATTCACGGGCTCAGGCAATCCACTTACCACGGCCTCCCAAAGTGCTGGGAATACAGGCTGAGCCACTGAGCCTGGCTTCTTTTTTCTAGTCTCTTAAGAAAATCTAACAGAGCCTTCCTAGTTTTCTTTTCCATAGGTGCAGCTGCTTAAAGGATCCAGCCCCCAGCCAGATACCAGAGAAACTCCAAGCCCTACATGAGACTAGTTTAGACTGGAACAGATCAGGCTGGTACAGTGGCTTATGCCTAATCCCAGCACTTTGGGAGGCTAAGGCAGGAGGATCGCTTGATGGTAGGGGTTCAAGACCAGCCTGGGCAACATAGCGAGACCTCATCTCTACAGAAATAAAAAAATTAGCTGGGTGTGGTGGTACGGGCCTGTAGTCCCAGCTACTTGGGAGACTGAGGCAGAAGGATCTCCTGAGCCCAGCAGTTTGAGGCTGCGGTGGCTGTGGGCATGCCACTGCACTCCAGCCTGGGAGTCAGAGTGAGACTCCAACTCAAAAAATAAAAAAAAAAAGCCGGGCTCGGTGGCTCAGCGTGTAATCCCACGCTTTGGGAGGTTGAGGTGAGTGGATTGCCTGAGCCCGCGGGTTCGAGACCCGCCTGGGCAACTTGGAGAGACCTCATCTCTACAATAAATCAAAAAATTAGCTGGGCGTGATAGCGCGTGACTGTAGTTCCAGCTACCTGGAAGGCTAAGGCGGAATGATCGCCAGAGCCCAGCAGGTTGAGGTTGCGGTGGCCGGGAGCAGCCACTGCATTCCAGTCTGGGCGACAGAGTGAGACTCCAACTCAAAAAGAAAAAAGAAAAAAAACTGGAACGAACCAGTACAGACCAGCGCAGCTGACCCCACAGTTACTTTTTAGCATATGAACATGTCAATATAATGCTAAACCCGCCTTCCCTTTTAGGAACCGCTTCAGCACTTTGTGTATATGCAATGAGTGGAGAAGCATGTTTGGGAAACCTGTGTGTGTCTGAAAATGCCACTCTGTCCATGCTCACATACCTGCCCGGCCCCACCCCCAACTCTTTAAAACCCCCCGTATTTCCCACTGCTCTGGGAGGGGGCTTCCAGGGTATTTGTTCCCCTTCTACATTCTCTAGCCAGCAAATAAAACACCTGATCACCTTTCCAAACTGACTGTTCTTTCTTCACGACCAACAAAAGGTAGGGAAAGAACACAATTTGCTGGTGACAACCTCTGCCATGACAAGGCTGTTCCAGTTTCTGTAGAATGTCTTGGAAACTGCAGAACTTGTGTAAGGCCAGCCCCTCAGAGCAGAGCCTGGGGGGAAGGTGTGTGCATGACCCTGCACGTGCTGGAGGGGTGGGTGGGGTGAGTAGCTGGCAAAGAGACCCGCCATACTCACTGCTGCAGACATCTCCTGCCTGGAAGAGTTCCGTGGTGAGCAGAACTAACCCATAGTAAGAGAATGCATTGGAAAACCTGCCAGGAGCAAGAAAGGAAGGGAAAGACATGATCAGAGGAATGTGAGTACCCTTTCCCCCTCCCCTAGGGAAAGGCCTGTGTCTACAGCAGCAGGGACCAGGCTTTGGGCCTCACTGGGCCCTTGGAGGCTTTACTGGGGACCTTGAGCAGAAAGATGGCGATCCTTCTGCTTCAACCTCCCAAGCAGCTGGAACTACAGCTACTTTTGTAGAAACAAGGCCGCGCTTTGTTACCTAGGCTGATCTCAAACTCCTGGGCTCAAGCGATACCCATTCCTTGGCCTCCTAAAGTGCTGGGATTACAGGCAAGAGCCACCAAGTCTGGCTGTTTTTACTGTATTTATTTACAGTAAAAACTGGAGTGTAGTAGCACGCTCATGGCCACCGCAGCCTAGACCTGCTGGGTTCAGGTGATGTTGCTGACTCAGCCTTTCAAGTAGCTGGAACTACAAGCACCCACCACCACACCTGGCTAACTTTTAAAAAAAAAAATTATTGTAGAGATGAGGTTTTACCAAGTTGCCCAGGCTGGTCTCAAACCTGTGGGCTCAGGCAATCCTCTCACCTCAGCCTCCCAAAGTGCTGGGACTGTAGGTGTGAGCCACTGTGCCCAGCTACATTTGTTTATCTTTAAGAGCACCTTCTGTCTGTGACCTACAATTAAAATGTTTTTCTTTAAAGTAGAGATAGAAAGTTTTCTTTAAAAGATACTTACCTGAGTAAAAAACAAATCAAGTTAAAGAAAAAATTAAGAAAACAGTTCAGGTGATAACCTGGATGGATACAGGCAGAAATCTGGGGAGTGATGCCCAAACAACTAAAATTTGCCTGAGATCCAAGTGAACTCTGCTCGTCACATTAAAACAAGAGCCACAACAGGGCACAGTGAGTGGAAGGGGTCAAAGTGGTCAATAAACAGCTCTTACCATATGAACCACAGCAACAAAGTTGTCCATCTAAAATGGGGCGTGAAAAGGTCCCTCATTTTGCCTCGGTCTTCCTGTTTCAAGACAAGGATACGGTGTTTATTCTCTGCCCTGCAGGTGTGTGGGGCACCCACCGGTGGCCTGAGGTGGGCACACACCCTCAGCTGGGCGGGAGGTTTCCTGTGGGCAGGACACTTGCTCTGAGAACCCAGGACTCAAATCCCCAGGACTCAGCCTCTCGGCCCCTTCAGCTGGGATTCAGCAAGGTCCAGGGCTGGATTCCCACAGGAGGGAGACATCTCATGACTTTCCATCTGGAAACCTGAGCTGGGAGGCAGATACCATGGTCCACTGGAGCAGAAAACCAAGTTCAAGTGGTATCTAACCACTTCACACACACCCACACCTTCCCCAGCTGTAGGTCAAGGTGGTAACAATTTTTTTTTTTTTTTTTTTGTCAGGGTTCTCATTCTGTCATCCAGGCTGGAGTACAGTGGCACAATCACAACTCACCACAGCCTCCACCTCCTGGGTTCGGGTAAGCCTTCCACCTCGGCCTCCTGTGTAGCTGGAACTAGAAGTGCATGCCACTATGCCTGGCTAAATTTTAAAAAATTTTTTGTAGAGACGAGGTTTTAATATGTTGCCCAGGTTGATTTCCAACTCCTAGGCTCATGCAATCCTCCCACCTCAGCCTCCCAAAGTGTTGGGTACAATGTTCTTTAAAGATATATTCTATGGCTGTGATTATAGTCTTCTTAAATATTCTTTTTTTTTTAGATTAGAAAATACAGTTTATTTAGAAAGTAAATTGAAGAGAGAGAAAGAAGGGATTCACTTCCCCAAGGGAGGGGAGGTGGCCAAAGCTTAAGAAAACATGGCCTGGACATAGCTCAAAGAGCACAGGGCCACGCCATAGCTTAGCAAGGCAATGACCTTAAATATTCTTAAGGAACATGTTTTTCTTAGCAGCAGTTTGGGAAAGGCTGGCTTATTTAAACATGCTGATAGAGCTTGGATATTTGTCCCCTCCAAATCTTATATTGAAATGTGATTGCCGGTTGGGCTCCGTGGCTTAGCCTGTCATCCCAGCACTTTGCGAGTGGAATGCCTGAGCTCACAGGTTCAAGACCAGCCTGGGCAACTTGGCGAGACAATAAATGAAAAAAATTAGCCAGGCATGGTAGCATGCACCTGTAGTTCCGGCTACTTGGAAGACTGAGGCGGAAGGATCACCAGAGCCCAGCAGGTTGATGCTGGGGGTGGCCGTGAGTGTGCCACTGCTGCACTCCAGCCTGGGTGACAGAGTGAGACTCCAACTAAAGAAATGTGATTGCCAGTGTTGGAGGTGGGGCCTGGTAGGAGGCATTTGGGACATCAATGGCTTGGTGCCATTCTCATGGGATTGAGTGAGTTTTCACTGTATTAGTTTCTACAAGAACTATCAAAAAGAGCCTGACTATGAGGCACAGTGGCTCACATCTGTAGTTCCAGCACTTTGGGAGGCTGAGATGGGAAGATCACTTGAGCCCAGGAGTTCAAGTCCAGCCTGGCAACATAGCGAGACCTTGTCTCTACAAAAAATAACAAAAATTAGCTGGGTGTGGTGGCACACACCTGTAGACCCAGCTACTTGAGAGGCTAAGGCAGAAGGACCACCTGAACCCAGGTGGTCAAGGGTGTGTTAAGCCATGATCATGCCACTGCACTCCAGCCTGGGCAACAGAATGAGACGCCAACTCAAAAAAAAAAAAAAAAAAAAAAATTAAAAAGCGCCTGGCACTTCCCTTCCCTCTCTCTCCCTTGCCCCTTGTCTTCTGCCATGAGGGGAAGCAGTCTGAGCCCTCGCCAAAAGCTGACGCTGGCACCATGTTTCCTGTCTAGCCTGCAGAACTGTGAACCAAATAAACTTCTTGTCTTTGTCAACTCCCCAACCTCAGGTGTTCCTCTATAGCAACGCAAATGGATGAATGCACATGCTAAAATGAAAAACCAAAGATCATAGGTCATGGGTGGTTTGGTCTACCTATGAATATTGTCTTCACGAATAGAAATATCTTGTAATGTTGAATAAGAAGACAACATTGAAGCTGAGTGTGGTGGCTCACGTCTGTAATCCCAGCACTTTGGGAGGCGGAGGTGAGAGGATTGCCTGAGCCCAGAGGTTCGAGACCAGCCCGGGCAAGACTTTGTCTCAATAATAAGTCAAAAAATTAGAGAGCCATGATGCGTTTGCCTGTAGTTCCAGCTACTTAGAAGGCTGAGGCAGAAGGATCGTCTGAGCCCAGGACATTGTGGCTGCGGTGACCGTGAGTGGCCACTGTACTCTTGTCTGGGTAACAGAGTGAGAGAGTGAGACTCTAACTCAAAAAAAAAAAAAAAAGGACAAGATTCATTTGTTGAATATATTTGAGAAAGTTTGTATTTACTGAATATATTTTGAAGTAGATCATTCATATATTTATAGAAAGAACATATTGGTGAATGGATGTATCAACATATATATGAAAAAATATATTCCTGTTTCACTAAATATCTTCAAAAAGAATAATCCTTATAACATGCTTCTGGTAAATTAATGCGTTTGGAAAATTCATTCAGGAAAATTGGCTTTTGGAGACATGGTAGGCTTCTGGAAAGCTCTTCTCTCCTCTTTTTTGCTTCTTTCAGGATTCACCGCCTCCTTGGAGCCTTCCTGGACCACAGTAGGGGAAGCAAGCTCTCCCCGTGTGAGCTGTGCTGCCCCAGCTGGCCTTTCCTGTTGCCAAAAGGGAATCCTGACCTCCATCAAATAAGTGTAGCCCTGCCACTGGGTTCCCAGGGACACACAGAGGCCCAGCGCAGCAGCTTCTTTCCAAAGTGACACTCACCACTCAGCATCCCGCCCTGCAACTTGACCTTGAGACAAGCATCTGAGAGCATGACGTGCTTTCTCCTTCCAGAGCATCTTCATCCATGATGGGTGTCTCCCCAAAGGCGGCCAAATAAGCTTCCTGCAACTCTTGCTGAATATCCCCTACCCTGCCTGTGGTTTCCAAAGTAATGAGGCATGTCTTCTGGCCTCTATGTTGTCAGACTACACCAAGCATCTCCTTCCCGATCCGGTGAAATTCCATTCAGTTATTCTTGCATAATATAAAAGCAATTAGAAATATGATTTTACTTTAAGAGATAATCTCCTTAGAGCAGCAGTCCCCAACCTTTTTGGCATCAGGGACTGCTTTCACAGAAGACAATTCTTCCATAGATGAAGTTGGGGGGATCATCAGGCATTAGCGTCTCATAAGGAGCCACAACCTGGATCCCTTGTGTGTACAGTTCACAACAGAGTTCACGCTCCTATGAGAATCTAATGCCCTACTGATCTCATAGCAGGTAGAGCTCTGCTGGCCTGTCACTCACCTCCTACTGTGCAGCCTGGTTCCTAACAGGCCATGGACTGGTCCACGGACTGGGGGATGGAGACCCCTGCCTTAGAGGGTTGGTCTGCTTAAAGGTATATGTCCTGTCTCTCCAGTCTACGTGGATGGTTCTTGAGGACAGGGACTGCAGCCTCAAACCTGTATCCCTTCTGCCCATGTCATGGGTGCTTGTTAAGTTTCACTGTGGTGGATTCCCCGGTGGTGTTACCAGGGCAGTGAAGCACCATCCATTAAGGAGGTCAACATGGGATGCGGCTTGATACCCTGGATCTAAGCGTATTACTGACCAATGTGGTTTTATTGCAAAGCTTTTGGCAATCAGTCACATTTGCTAGTCAGACTTCATCGGTGCTGAAAGGGGAAACAGGTCCTATCTATTAGCAGACATCACAGTTCTCTTTTTTCTTTTTTTTTAATTTGAGTTGGAGTCTCACTCTGTTGCCCCACTGGATTGCAGTGGCACACTCCCAGCTACCACAGCCTCGACCTGCTGGGTTCTCATGATCCTTCCGCCTCAGCCTTCCAAGTAGCTGGAACTATAGGCGTGCACCACCATGCCAGGCTAATTTTTTGATTTATTGTAGAGATGAGGTCTCACCAAGTTGCCCATGCGGGTCTAGAACCTGCGGGCTCAGGCCATCCACTCGCCTCAACCTCCCAAAGTGCTAGGATTATAGGCTGAGCCACTGAGCCCGGCCTCTTTTTTTTCCTTTGAGTAGGAGTCTCACTCTGTCACTCAGGCTGGAGTGTAGTAGCATGCCCGTGGCCACCGCAGCCTTGACTTGCTGGGCTCAGGTGATCCTTCCACCTCAGTCTTCCAAGTAGCTGGAACTACAGGCATGTAGCACTATGCCCGGCTAATTTTTTTGATTTGTTGTAGAGATGTGGTCTCGCCAAGATACCCAGGCCAGTCTCAAACCTATGGGCTCAGACAATATTCTCACCTCAGCCCATCAAAGTGCTGGGATTATTGGCATGAGCCACCACACCTGACCTAAAATGATGATCATCCATTCTTAGTATTTTTTTTTTTTTTTTGAGTAGGAGTCTCACTCTGTTGGCCAGACTGGAGTGCAGTGGCACACTCACGGCCACCATAGCCTCGACCTGCTGGGCTCAGGTGATCCTTCCACCTCAGCCTTCCAAGTAGCTGGAAGGTGGCACGCACCACCACATGCAGCTAATTTTTTTATTTATTGTAGAGAAGGTCTCATCAAGTTGCTCCAGTTGGTCTTGAACCCTCAGAGTCAGGCAATCCTCTCACCTCTGACTCCCAAAGTGCTGGGATTACAGGCGTGAGTCACCGCACCCAGCCCAACATAGTTCTCTAATCACAGGCTACATTCTCCAGGAAGCATTTCTAGAACTTGGCAACAAAGATACAGATTGGAGTTGCCAGATCTCCCTTGTGGGTCCTGCCCACTGGGACCTCACCTGTCCATGTACACATGCAAGTCTGCCCTGGGTAGATGCACCCACATGTGTGCCCACACATGTGCACGCCCCGCCTCACATGCATATGCTCCCTGTGTGTGCACCAACACACCTGCGGCTGAGTCTGCTGATGCAGGCACTGACCTGTCTGGAGATGATGAGTTTCCCCAGCGGCATGGGTGCTCCGTTCTCTGTCGCTATCCTCTTTAAGGTGGCGATTGCCTTTTCCTGGTTCCCGGACAGCACATCATACCTCGCGCTCTCCGGAAGCCACTACAGGGGGAGAATGGGGGATAGGAGACCCAGGGTGGCTGGTTAGGGCACAGCAGAATGCTCACTTCCAGCCACTCACTCTTATCTGTGTGGGGAGTCTTTCGGGTGGGGACCCTGACTTCAAATCCTGACTCTGCTATTTATTATATTGGTTGTGTGATCCTTGTACAATAACTTGACTTCTCTGTGCCTCCATTTCTGCATCCATAAAATGGGAATATTAAGAGATTCTGCCTCTTAGGGTTGTCAGGAGGATTATATTGTCACTGTTGCTATAGGTTTTTTTTTTTTAATTTGGAGTCTCACTCTGTCGCCCAGACTGGAGTGTAGTGGCACGCTCATGGCTACCACAGCCTCGCCCTCAGCCTCCTGAGTAACTGGGACTATAGGTACATGCCACCATGACTGGCTATTTTTTTTATATGAAAAGAAGTCTCATGATGTTGCCCAAGCTGGTCTCAAACTCCTGGGCTCCAGAGATCCTCCTGCCTTGGCCTCCCAAAATGCCGGGATTACAGGTGTGAGACTGTGCCTGGTCTTGCTATTACTATTACTTGAAGCTGCTTGCCAAGTTCCAGGTGAGGGTTGAATTAAATTAAGACCACCATAAGAAATCTCTCCATCTCTCAAGAAACTATACCTCACCTGTGTTCAGCATCATCTTGCAAACTTATCCCAAGACAAAGAAATCAGAACTACTTTTAGGCCTAATAGGCTCTCAACCCCAAGTGACTAGATACATTTCTGTAAAAATGAAGCAACAGGCCAGCGCTGTGGCTCAAGTCTGTACTCCCCAGACCTTTGGGAGGCCAAGATGAGGACTGCCTGAGCCCACGGGTTTGAAAACAGCCTGGGAAATTTGGTGAGATCTCATCTCTATAATAAATCAAAAAATTAGCTGGGTATGGTAGTGCATGCCTGTAGTTCTGGCTACATAGCAAGCTGAGGCAGAAGGATCGCCTGAGCCCAGCAAGTCGATGCTGGAGTGGCCATGAGCATGTGTGCCACTGCATTCCAGCCTGGGCGATGGAGTGAGACTCCAACTCAAAAACAGAAACAAAAATGAAGCAACAGTTATCTGAGAAATAGGTATAGTAGAGAAGGCATGAGTCTGGAAGTCAGATTTGGTCCATCTTAGAGTTCTATTGTTTATTTGAGGCATGCCCTTTAAGCAAGTCAGACAGCCTCTCTAGGCCTTGGTTTCCTCATCAGTAAAATGGGGATAGCAGAGATTGCTAATGTCCATCAAAATTCATGCTTCCCTTTTCATGGTGTAGAATTGTTCTTGGATGCGGCTGCCCAACCAGGAACTATGTTTCTCAACACCCTTTGCATCTAGGGGAGACTATGTGACTTGCGTTCACCAATGGCATTTGAGCAGACTATTCCTGGCTAAGGTATTTAAGAAGGGATGTTCAGTCCCCATCCGCCCTTCCCTGTTCTGTTGCCTGCATGTAGAAGACTCCAAAACCCTAGAGTATGGCAGGGCCACCAGGTGGAAAAAACCTGTGCCCAGAATTCCGCTTGCCGACCAGAAAAGTCATTCTGAATGGTTATGTTAGTGAGAAACTTAACTGTTGTGCTAAGTTACTGAATTTGTGAGCTTTATTTGTTACAGCAGCTGGTATCATCCCAACTAACCAGAGGTTCATCATAATTCTACCTCATAGAGCTATAGAGAATAATAAATATGGTAATGTGTATGAAGAGCCTAGCATGGAGCCTGTCTCACTGTTAAGCTCAGTGATTATCAATACCTATTGCCATTACCAGCCATTGTTGTAGTATTTACTATACATAAAAACTACCCATTTATAGGCTTATTTTGGTGCTCCATTGACTATAAAGTGTTTCATGCGTGTACATATGAAATGAGGAGCATGTGCCATGATCGCACTGGAAGGTGTGATTAATGCAGACCTAAGATGGAGAGATCATTTGAACTCCTGGACCCAGCCATGGCTGAAGCCAGTTGAGTCCTCTGTGATGTATGTATCTCTCTCTTTTACTCAAGCCAATTTGGATTGGGTTTCTGTCACTTGCCATATAAGAGTTCCAACTAACCTAATGCAATTACTTTAAGTGTGGATTTTGCAAGGATGAGGCCAATTGATCCCCCATCTCCAGCGGTCTCCTTAGAAAACATCCCAGAAGTATCTGTCTGGAGGAAATCGAATACCCCATCCTGGGGCTACCCCAGGCCTTGCTCTCCTGTTAACTGCCTGATTTAAAAGAACAGTCTTAAAAATTGGCTTTCATGTCCTTCTCCATCCCTACTCCACCAAAACAGAGAGGACAGAGGGTGCCAGGCCACAAACACCAAGCTTTCTTAAAGGATACCTACGAAACACAGCACAGCAAAGACGAGGAGCGGGACGGCCGAGAGGATGAGCAGCCAGCGCCAGCCCAGGCTGGGCATCACGAAGACAGCAAGGATGACCTCAAACACCGTCCCGATAGCCCAGAAGACCTGGCACGGGAGAATCGGGGTCAGTGGTGGGGTAGTACGATTTACACAGTGAGCAATTACAGGGCCACTGTAGACAAGGGTGTAGATGTGGTAAGGGGTCATTGGGGTCAGCAAGGTCAGAATAGCCAGTCTTTCCCTGTGGTCCATATGGCTGAGCCAAGCTGCCATGTTGCCCATCTCCTGAGGGGACTATCAACATTGTATATACTCACATGGTGCCCACTGGAGCTGTACCAAGTGGCAGCTCTGGTTAAAATCAATACGATCAATATTGGGTGATGTCAGTATGGTAGTGGACACATTGGGGTTTTTTTTTTTTTGCATTTTTTATTGTGATAAAATACACAACAAAATGTACCATCTTAACCATTCTTAAGTATATAGTTGAATAGTATTAAGTACATTCGCGATGTTGCACAAACACCACCACCGTCCATCTCCAGAACTCTTCTCATCTTACAAACATGACACTCTGTACCCATTAAACGCTAACTTCCCATTCCCTTCTCCCCCCAGGGCCTGGCAACCACGATTCTACTTTCTGTCTCTATGATTTTGACAACTCTAAGTAACTCCTATAAATGGAGTCATATAGCAATTGTCTTTTTGGAGCTGGCTTGATTCAACCAGCAAAGTGCCCTCAAGCTTCATCCATGCTGTTTCAGAATTTCCTTCCTTTATGTGGCTGAATACTATTCCCTTGTCTGGCTACACCAGTTTGTTTATCCACTTATCTGTCAATGGCCACTTTGGCTGCTTACACATCTTAGCTACTGTGAATAGCTGGGAACGTGGCTGTACCAATGGACACACTGGTTTCGGTCTACTGACATCTATCTCCCTCACCACAGTGCCAGTGTCTTTTATCAGAACTGCCTCTTCCCAATGAGGCTGAATGTCTTCTGTTTGCCTAAGTCCCTCTCTGCCCTTCCCCACCTTTGTATGAATTCCACCCACAGCCTCCCTGTCCCTTGGCTTCCCCCTGGGTGCAGCCAATGGGTAGCCCCACAGGAGATGGAAGGGGGGGAGGAGAGAGAGACCAGGCCACTTACTACCATAGCTCCCTCATGGCAGGATGGGGATGGGCTGGCTGCATCCCTCTGTTGAAGGTCCTAGCTCCTGTCCAGCAGCCTTCATCAGACATTCTTTCTTTTTTCTTTTTTGAGTTGGAGTCTCGCTCTGTCGCCCAGGCTGGAGTGCAGTGGCATGCTCATGGCCACCGCAGCCTCGACCTGCTGGGCTCAGGCGATCCTTCCACCTCAGTCTTCCAAGTAGCTAGAACTACAGGCATGCGCCACCATACCCAGCTAATTTTTTGATTTATTGTATAGATGAGGTCTTGCCGAGTTGCCCAGGCTGGTCTGGATCCCGTGAGCTCATGCAATCCCCTCGCCTTGGCCTCCCAAAGTGCTGGGATTATAGGCGTGAGGCACCGTGCCCGGCTCATCATACATTCTCTGGGCAGCGAATGACTCCTTCCCTTTGCCCCTGCAGGCCTGGGCTGGCAACACCCCTGCAGAGGCTTTATAAACAGCCCCTTCATTAGACCACCTCAAATGATCCTAATTTGCGTATGCTGTTTCTGCTTAGGATCCCAATCTTACTACTATTGTCTACTCCAAAACCTGGTTTTCCAGTCTCCCCATCTGGCCTTCCAAGAGCCTTCCAAAGTCCGCTCCTGCTTCAATAAACCACAGTCCATTTCTGCTGCTGACAATCAGGGTAACAGTCAAAATGTCTAACAACAGGTACAGTGAGGACACTAACCAATCAGAAAGAATACCAAACCAAAGAGGAATTAACTCTTTGGTTGCTGGATCGTGGAAAGCTCTAGGGGGTCCTAAGAAACTACAGCATACTAGGCAATGAGTTCACAATCAGCTGGGCCAGATACCATTCAATATTTAAGCAGCCAATTCATCCACACCAGTGTGGACCAACTGAGCATCACCCTAATTGGTCAGGAGCAGATGCAATCAGGATGGTTAAATCAGGCTGTGGGTCAATGTCATTGATATTATCAAAGTGGTCATAAAGATTGGGGAGGTCAGAGAGGCGTCACATTTATCACAATGGGCATCCATGTCCAGCAGGGGCAAATAAACCATTCTGCCATGGCGTGGAGGAAGCGGACATTGGGCCATGTTATATGCCCTGAGATCTTCGAGATCATGGCTAGAAAATGGGTCCCAAGATCCTAATAAAAGAAAGACTTGAGAGGGACTGGTTGGACCATAAGAGCTTCAAGGCAGAAGCAGCCAAGAATGAAGATCTCATGGCCCAGTCTGGGTAACAGCGGAGGTGAAGGGTGAGAACGTGAGCGCAGGCAGGAGTCTGGTCTACTCAGGATGCACCGTTCAACACAAGCTCTCAGGTACAAGCTATTTCCAGTTCAGGAAGGACATCCCACCTGCCTCCCACCACTTTTTAAAGGGATGATAGATCAGACTTGCTTGTCAGTTGAAGAACATACCCATATTGCAAAACAGCCATGGCTGAATCCATACAACTGATCCATTTATGCCTTTGCATGCTGTGTCTATTTTTCTTAAACTCCCTTCCCCTTGACCGGTGACTCAAGACATCTGAGGACCCCCTGTCTGAGAGTCAGGGCTCTCTAGAGACCAGACCACCTTCCTCCTTACCTCAATCAGCAAAATACATTTAGCTCTGGCTTTCATGGGAAGGAACTCAGCATACAGTGTCACCCTAGGAAAGCAATGGGACAGAAAAAGGGGTAAGGTCAGGACTGAGTGGGAAAATTGCTAGTTTCCTGAATTTCCAGGTCAGCATTCCTCCGAGGGTGTTCAGTGGACCACTTCTATCAGAATTTCCTGGGATTATGATGACTAAATATATTTGAGGCAGGACTCCCCCAAAAATTGGAATTATCTTTCTGAGGGTGAGCCCCTCACAGTACACTCAGAATTTGTTCCTCCAGATCAAACGGTTAACCCAAGTTTTCATCTGGAAGTATTAAAAAGGTTGTGACACGATTTGCAGAAGAAACATCCCGAGTTGTGGCAGACAGGTGACTGTTTTTTCACCATGACAACACACCTGCCTGTACTGTGCTGAGTGTTCAGCAGTTTTTGGCCAAAAAATAGCACGACCCCCATGCCTTATCCCCCTATTCACTTTGTCTTGCCCCGAGGGATGAAAAAAGTCCTCAGAAGGAAATATTTTGCTGATGTGGAAGAGGTGAAACAAAAAAGGGCAGAAGCACTAAAAGGCATCTACGTTAACCAGTTCAAAAACTGTTCTGAGCAGTGGAGGGTCTCGATGGTTGTACTGCATCAAATGGAGAGTCCTTTGAAGGTGACTGAAGTTTAAATGTCAGAATAAATACACAATTTTTAATAAATAAATTCTGGTTTTTTGGGTCCCTCCTCATAGATCCACAGCCTCCCCGCCACCTCCCTTCAAAAACAGACTCTCTCAAGGATGGGGCCCTGGAATTTGCACTCCTGTTTTATTTTATTTTCATTTATTTATTTACTTATTTATTTTGAGACAGGTTCTCACCCTGTCACCCAGGCTGAAGTGCAGTGGCATGATAATAACTCACCACAATCTTGAACTCCTGGGCTCTAATGGTCCTCCAGCCATAGCCTCCCAAGTAGCTGGGACCAGAGGCATGGGCCACCGTGCCTGGCTAATTTTTGTATTCTTTTGTAGAGACAAAGTCTCACTCTATTGCCTAGACTGGTCTTGAATGTCTGTCCTCAAGCGATCCTCCCACCTTGCCCTCCCAAAGTGCTGGCAGTATAGGTGTCAGCCGCCGTACCCAGCCTTATCTACATCTTTAGCTAACTTCTCAAATAATTCTCAAATTCCATGACTGCTGCTACTGAGCCCTACCCACAACCCTGTAAGTCCAGGGGACAATGTTATCTTGGCAGGAACACCACAGAAATGACGCTGAGCTCTTCCCAGCTCACCACATCAGGGGCAGGTGGTGTCAACCCAGCCCAACACTAGTGATACTAGTCTTCATCACCCGATCAAGTTGGTACCCGGCAGATTTCTCCACCCCAAGTTAACATTTTGCCATTTGTGCATAATAAGCACGTTGTAGGGAAATAGTCAGAAAAGGTGCCCATATCCTGGTTCTCCATAGAATCTCTGCCCTCCAGGTTTGGCCATTGACTATTTATACCTAAATCAACCACCATCATGATGGTGACAAATCATATTTTTTATTTCTGTTATTTTGACTACATTTATTAGTTGACATTCTACTGCAAGGAAGAGCTTTCCCTTCTCATTGATCTATATCTATTATCTGTCTATCTATCTATCTATCTATCTATCATCTATCCAGTTACTTAGTATGGACTTGCAGATTCCTAGTTTATTCAATGAGTTGCGAACCATTATTATTTTGGTTCAAACTGTCCTACATCTGGCCAGTAGGAGTCCCTTCAAACCCCTTCAAACTGACTCTTGCTGTCTTTTTGACAGGTCTCCATCATTCCTTGAGGTCCTCTTCACTTTCCAGCACAAGATGTCCAACTCATCTTGTACTTTCCTTGTCCCAGTCCTGGAATCTGTCATTTCTCTGAGAAGCCCTGGTTCTCTTTGGCAGAGGATGGTTTGAGCAACAAAGGTCCAGGCCTGGCTTGTCCTGTAATTCCAGCACTTTGGGAGGCTGAGGCGAGAGGACTGCCTGAGCCTGGGGGTTCGAGACCAGCCTGGGCAACTTGGTGAGACCTTGTCTCTACAATAAATCACAAAAACTAGCCAGATGTGGTGGCATGTGTCTGCAGTTCGTTACTTGGAAGGCTGAGATGGAAGGATCGCCTGAGCCCAGCAGGTCGAGGCTGTGGTGGCCGTGAGCATGCCACTGTACTCTAGCCTGGGTGACAAAGAGTGGGACTCCAACTCAAAAAAAGAAAAAGAAAAAGAAAAAAAGTAAGAAACCAAGGTCTGAGTGTTTGATGTGCTCATGAGGTGTCACTACTTTTTAGGCCCTTTATAGCTAGGAAACATTCTCATTCTCTCTCCTTCTCTCTCATATCTATCTATGTATCTATCATCTATTTATCATCTATGTATCTATGTATGCTTGTATTGATCCATCCTCTCTCTCTCCCTCTCTCTCCACAAACACACACCAAATATCTATATCTATTTCTATCTCTGTGTAAATTCATGAAAAAACAATGAGTTCATTCCAATACTTTCAATTCCAGTCCAACACCTTAGAGTTCTTTCCAACCTTCCCAGTTTCCATGTTGGAATTCCCTTCTCCAGTAATGAGAAACCTGAGTTTCATTATCCTCAATACTATTCCTTCTTCGCTCAGTCTACCTGTTTGCTCAATTCAGCCTGCATTTCAAATGTACTGGCTGCCCCTCCCTTTCCCTGCCTCAGCCTCTGGCCATGCTGGAGCGAGAAGGGGACCTTCGAACCGCTCCCCATGCTGCCTTCGGTTTTGCGAGAAAGAGGAGGCCTTCTTCCCCCTCATTGCCCATCTGAGTTGGGTGCCTGAGCTACCAGATGGCCTCATGTCGCTCTCCTGGCTCCTCTTAAGGGGTAGGCGTGGGGGTGCGAGGGAGGCTCATTTCCTCTGTTTGAGGCAGACGGTGCTGGTGATCCACGTGGACCTCCTAGGACCCTTTTCTAGGTGAGCGTGCCCACCTCACAGCTGCTGCTAAGGACTCACGCCTGCAGCCTTCTCCTACGGTCACTCTTGAGCTGCCTCAGGCAGGGGGGTACCTGGGAGGCACATCCCTTGTCTTAGGCCAGGCTGCAGGCTGGTGTGTGGGTGCAGATGGCCCAGGCCCTTAGAGCCTGTAAGTCTTCTCTGCTCCCTGGGTGCTCGGGTGAGTCCTGGTGAAGCACACCCTCCTGAATGTCCGCCCTGTACCTTCCTAGCATTGTTCATGCTTTCACAGTTTCCTCCTGAGAACACTCTCAATAAATCACTCGAACAAGAATCCCTGCCTCAGGTTCTGTCCGCATCTGTGAAGCCTGACCTATGACATTTTCCCTATGGTGCATCTAACTTTTTTTTTTAAGTTGGAGTCTCACTCTGTCGCCCAGGCTGGAGTGCCGTGGTATGCTCCCGGCCACCGCAGCCTCAAACTGCTGGGCTCAGGCGATCCTTCCGCCTCAGTCTTCCAAGTAGCTGGAACTACAGGCACGCACCACCACGCCCGGCTAATTTTTTAATTTAATGTAGAGATGAGGTCTTGCCAAGTTGTCCAAGCTGGTCTCGAATCCATGAGCTCGGGCAATCCTCTCACCTCAGCCTTCCAAAGTGCTGGGATTAGAGGTGTGAGCCACCATGCCCAGCCGCATCTAACTTTTTAAAAGTTGGCCTTAGCAACACCACTGAGATGTAGAAACAGTCCTATCATCAGTGAAAGTCCTTCACAGGTTCTGACCAAAGGCATCTTGGTCCAAAGCAAGAATTCTCAGGCAAGGCAGGGCTTCTGTCAATCTGACAGACTCTCTTCAGAGAAAAGTAGGAAGAAAATGTAAATGCCATCTGGTCACTTGACAGTGTATTTTAGTGTATTTCCTCTTTCTGTCTTAGTCGCTCTGTCCCTGTTTGAACCCTAAGACCATACTCAAGAATTTTGAACTCTATTATTAATTTGATTTATAAACAAGCATTTCCATGCCATTTAAAATCTCTTGCACACATATATTCCAACACATGCATGAACTATACTTTCTCTACTAAAGGCTACTTTTTTTGGAGTTGGAGTCTCACTCTGTCACCCAGGCTGGAGTACAGTGGCACAATCACAGCTCACTGCAGCCCCAGTCTCCTGGGCTCAGGCAATCCTCCAGCCTCAGCCTCCTGAGTAGCTGGGACTACAGGCACACGCCACCATGCTCAGCTACATTTTTGTGTTTTTTTGTAGAGACAAGGTCTCACTATGTTGCCCAGGCTAGTCTTGAACTCCCAGGTTCAAGTAATCCTCTCACCTCAGCCTCCCAAAGTGCTGGGATTACAAGTATGAGCCACTGCACCTTGCTGAATTTGTTTTTATAATGAACCAATAGCCTATTTAATGAGTTTTAAGGGTTTGTTTTTCTTTTTTTCTTGATTTATTGTAGAGATGAAGCTTTGCCAAGTTGCCCAGGCTGGTCTCGAACCCGTAGGTTCAGGCAATCCTCTCACCTCGGCCTCCCAAAGTGCTGGGATTATAGGTGTGAACCACCATGCCCGACCTAAAGTTATTTTTATTTTCTAGTTATGGAGTATTACCTGAATGTGCTCTCATTGTAAAACAGCACAGCATAAGTCTAGAGGGTATATGAGGAGCTATCCTCTTCCCCGTGGCCTCTACTTGCCCTTTCCTCCCCCAGAGCCATAACTACCAGCAGTTTGCTTTGCAACCTTCCAGTCTCTTCTCTATGGGGTGCTTTGCAACCTTCCAGTCTCTTCTCTATGGGGGGAAGGGGGCAACATGCTATTTCTTTCTCCTTTCCTTTTCTTCTTTCTTTCCTTCTTTTCCCCTCCTCCCACTCCTTTCCTGATTCCTTTTTTTTTTTTTGAGTTGGAGTCTCGCAATGTCACCCAGGCCGGAGTGCAGTGGCATGATCATGGCTCACCACAGCCTCAGCCCTGGGCTCAACCAATCCTCCCACTTCAACCCCCCAAGGAACTGGGACTACAGGTGTGTGCCACCACGCCCAGCTAATAGTTTATTTTTTATATTTTTGTAGAGACAAGTTCTCGCTATGTTGCC